CAATCAAAAGGTGAAGATGGAGGATTCGTACCTCGGTATGCTGCATAACGATCCTTACTCAGAATACAACCATTACGGTTCCCAAGTTTACGTTCCAGTAGCCACTCCAGGGCCAAGTACTATTCAATTTGTACATGCCTATGTAAACCGTGTGGGAGGCGGGGTGGCCTCATGGTTAGTGCGCTCGTCCCCGGAGCGAGCGGTCCGGGTTCGAGTCCTGGCCGGGGACACCGTGTTGTGTTCTTGGGCAAGACACTTAACTCTCACAGTGCCTCTCTCCCCCCAGGAGTATAAATGGGGTACCGGCAAATTGTTGGGGAAACCTGCGATGGACTAGCATCCCGTCCAGGGGGAGTAGAAGTACTCCTTGCCGCTTCATGCTACAGAAACCGAGGATAAGCTCCGGCAGCTATGATCCAGTAGGATCCAAGGCTTCATTTTTTTCTTTTTTTTTATGTAAGCCGACCGTATCCGTACACACATCCATACACATCCGTATGCAAACCACCCGAGTCAGCCGAGTACATGTACAAGCTACATCACGACTGATCAAATTGAAAGCAGCGATCTTGAGCCAAGGTGTTTATTGCCATGTAATTGACACTTGTGGTTAACAAACATTTTGCTGTGTCTTAGTGCGCCCACGCTTGACAAATTGAAAATTTGGCAGAAACAAATTTTGTCGAGATTATTGGAAGGGCCGAACAAATTTTGTCAGCCCAGTGCGTCCGGACCCTAAACAAAGCTAATGCATGCTTTATGTAACGTCACGTCTAAAGAAAAACAGAGAAAGGAGACTATGCTTCTTGAAAAGATGTTTGCTTCCGTTTTTTTGCGCTTGTGTTTAGCTATAAATATTCATTTCGGTCAATCTTCTTTGTTCTCTAGGCACACGTGGGCAGAGTTTAACACCACAAGAACGACAAAATTTGTGACTATGGTTAAAACTATGGTTAAATAAGTTACACTTATTGCCCGGAAAAACCTTAACCACTGAAATATGGAGAAAAGTATAA